TTCTCACCCCGGGTGAGAATAGAGGTGGCCGTTTTTAATTTCTCTCAATGGAGAATCTCGGACATTAAAAATTTGTCTGTCTTTTAAAAAAATAAATTTTCTTTGATTTTATAATAGTCAGTTTAACGAAGAAAAGAAAATAGCATACCGGCTCGTTTTGTTTTACAGCATTGTGTGATTTTTACCGGCAATATTCCATGATCCGAGTGATAAGTTTAGACTTCAGACTGCTGCTATACTGTTGAACAGAAGCAGCATGAAGAAAAGAATGTGGTTTGGCCCACCATCCAAATAAATGCTTTTTCATACTTCTGAAGAAAGTGTATTAAACCCGCTTTTTTTATTTGTAGAACTAATAAAGTGTTAAACGTTTCAGAAAGTCTTAGTCTTCAGGGTTGGATTCTTTTCTTTTTTTTCAGTTTGTTGAGGTCAGAAGAACAGCCATGGCTCTCTCAGTTGAGAAGCTGCTGACAGATGCTCACACACTCATCATCCACCTGAAGGATCATGACTCACTGGCCGACAACATCATCGCAAGTACTCAGGCCCTCTACAACAAGGTGGAGGCAATGAAACAGGTGACCTTTGTGGCTGTATATGCAGACCTGCCACTCATCCCGATTTAATTGAGATATCCCGATTTTTTGCCCCAAATCTCAAGCATCCTGATTTTCCAGATTTCGATCTTCAGTATCCTGATTTTTTTTTTGTTACGTCCAATTCTTAGAGAAAAACATTCTGTAATCTCATTTGCTTGGAAGCACCAATTGGACTTTTTATTGGCAGGAACTTGGAAGGCTGTTTTCTAAAACATCAATGCCAGATTTTATAGTTGACTCATGCATGTTACTGCAACTGAAATCGAAGAAGTATCGATTTTGAATTCCGACTTGGGAATGCTATTATTACCCAGAATCCTCTGATGGTGGCCTGTTTACTGTAACAATTATGATTTAGGCCTGAAGAATAATCTATTGGTTGTTCTGCCATTGCTTTAAAAGCAAGCTTCGTTTGAGTTCTAGTTAGTCAGGCCCATCGTCAAGACCTGTCAGTGGAACTTTAAAACGCTCGTTCGCATCATGGGACATGACCTCGTACATGTGAGTAGCACGTTTGTCAGGGACTGTCGTTTGTTAGGGTCAACAAAGTTCACTCACACTGCAGAATTATTATTTTTTTCTCGTTGACATCTTGCCAGGCAGGCATGGTTGCATTTAGATCTACCACTACTTGACCATTGGAACGCAGCGGGATGTTAATCATTACTTGGTTTTAATTTTCTAACATAACATGTTAAGATTTGGTAACGACATAAGAAAACTTAAATGGATTCGTCTCATTCTCGCCGTCTTACATCGCCCAACAATATGCTTTGAATGGATCTACAGGAACATTGCACGTTCCTCCATCCCTACTATTTCTCATTTTCTGATTAGTTCTTTCGAACATAACAAAATGATGACAGAGCACGAGGCGTCGCGGGATTTCTGTTTTCTGCAAAATTACGTATTGTCACAGCCTCGGAATCAGTGAGGGCAGAGAGTAAACATTGAACAACATTATGATCGTTCCAGGGCCCTAAAATGGCCAATAGAAACAAAGTCACAGGGAGTCGAAGTTGCCTTGCGAAATGACTACATTGTAAGTTGTGTTCGAAAATGAAAATCTTGAAGGCTCACAAAGAAAAAACAGCTGCAGTTGTCATTATTCCTGATATAGTACCACAAATAATGTAGTTATGGTAGTACTTAAAGTTAAAGTGTAGAAGGGCAAGTTTCTCAGCAATTTTTTTATTTTTGTACTTGATGACAGAAAAAGTACGAACTCGACGTGTCATGTTTTGTATTCTAAAAATATATGTATTTCAGAACTAATAATATTTGCAAGATTTCTTCTGATGGCCCGACTACTATTTATATGCTCCCATAGCAGAAACATCATATTAAGCACAACATATACTATTTTCAAAGCTGTAGCACCATTTTTATTGGAATAGGAAAGGATTTTGTAAGGTATATGAAGAAATCCCCACCTATTGGCAAAGGCTCATATATATATATATATATTATATATATGGTCTGTTGGATGCCATTGCGAAAAGCAAAAAAAATAAATTTTTAAAAATAAACACAACTCAACCCGTCAACGCTTCACTTCTTCAAAACAATGAAAATGGCGCTCAGCTTCACGGGAGACTACTGTAATATCGATGAGGAATGGTCGTGACACAGTTATGTCCCTTTATACAGTGGAAAATTACACCAAAAATGACTACATCATAGGCCCGCCGAATCAGCAGACACATGGCACAGGGGAAGCACTTTTTGGCCCGCTGGCCCAGGGCAGTGAAGGGGCTAAAACGAGTAGCAAAAACAAAGAATGTGGTTTGGCATAAGCAGATACTGTCTCATTTGTTGGGTGATCTTTTGATTGCATAAATTTGTATTGTATCTCTTTTTTTGGGGGGGGGTCTAATTTTGCTGATGTTTGTTTTTAAGGTAGGGCCTACTATTTTTAAAAGGTTCGCAGCTGTTCTTGTCAATGTGATATTAGGTGTTTTCCTCATTTCTCTGGTTTTGTGGGCTTTTTTCCTTTTAAAGTTATTAGTTTGTCGAAGGTGGTTTTTGTTGTTGTTGTTTTCGATCCAAAGAGTTTTTATTAACAAACTTGTATTATGTTCAAATTACATTTCAGTTTCTTTGATTGTTTTTTTTGAGTAAAGAGAAGCGCATAAACTCCACAAAAAAATGCTCGGGAAAGTCAAGCAACAGAAGGAAAAAAACAGATTATAAAGCCAAAAAAGTAGCACCTTCTAGTGGCCATCCTCCAATCACCTGCTGTATTGCAATGAATACCTACATGCTTTTTGGTTTTCCCTTTCAAGATTGTGGGTGCTTGGCGGGTGCTCTGATGTGGTTTGCTGCTTCTTCTTTCCTATCAAACATCTATTGACCCCCGGGGGCAGTGCCACTGACTGTAGTGTCTTTAGGCCATTCCCAAAGGGGGAACATTTCTCGTTGAAGCACAGTAGAATTGTAAATGGGCGGATTCATGTCATGCTCATAACTGTGCCTGATCTACAACAGGGAACTGCTGCTTTTTCTCTCTTAATCCTTACTAGTAAGTCTGATTCCCTGTAAAGACTTCTCTGTCGGCACCCACCCCTTGGCGCTCATATGACCTTATATGCAGTTGCGAGCGCCGTAAAACCTTCTACTATAAAAACTAAAAACGTCTATATGACCTTATGCAGTTGCGAGCGCTGTAAAACCTCTGCTAAAACAAACCTTTCAAGGTTGAAAAAGATCTGGGACTTTGGTGTTATTCACTGATAACGTTGGTGTGCGCTCTGTTTCATTTGTGTCTCTGTTTTGCAGTATCAAGACGACATCACCGAGCTTAATGAGATAGCCAAACACAGACCACGTTCCACGCTTGTTTTGGGCATTGCACAAGAGAACCGCCAGATTCGCGAACTGCAACAGGAGAACCGAGAACTTCAAGCCACGCTAGAGGAGCATCAGTCGGCTTTGGAGCTGATCATGCAGAAGTACCGAGAGCACACTGTCAAACTCCTCCACGGCAATCGTTTAGAGAGAGCTCTTCATGACAAAGAGTCAGCAGACAAGGTAGGCTATATATATATGAATGTTATATTGTTTTACTCTCTGTCTACAGGTCATGGTTGCAGGATGCTGTTAGTTCTACTTCCTTCTCGAGTTTGTTGAATGTTATGGTGTCGTTTTTTAATGTGTCTGAAGTTCAAACAAGCAATGTAGTATGTTTGGTCTGTCATAACGGCAGATTTATCAACTTGTGTATTTATTACATGCGGTTGTTAAATAAGACTGGTCCAAATTCCTAACCAATTTAATTGTCAGGCAATATTATTTTCAAATGGCAGCATATCTACCTGAACAAGGAAATTCATAGTGCTTTTTATTTTATTTGCTTTATCATGTTTTCTTAATACTTTGAAATATTTTTTTCTCCATATTGCTTGGCTATGGTAAAATCCATGTTTCTTTGACTAATAATACGGATGGAAATTGATGCTTGTAACTGATAAAGCTTCTTCACTGTGACACCATGAGTAAAATTGAGATTCCAGTCAACTCATTTGTACTCTGCTGGTAATTTTACTTTGTGTTTTCCAGGATTCCATGTGCCATTTGATGGACAAAATAGATGAAATGGCCGGTGTCATGCAGAAAGCGATAGAGGTAAGTAATTTCAGGATTTTTGTTCTCAATAAATTACGGTAATCTCCGCCTAAACGCACGCTTTCGTCATCTGACAGATTTTTTACTACATAATTTAGACGTACAAACACATGTCACTCCCTCTAAATGCACGCTCCGATAAGCGAAACACGCCAACAGGTAAAGCTTGCCAAGGGGAAATATACACAACAACCTGCACAGCACTGTGCGTTTAGGAGAAGGTTTGCTATTTTTTGTCTCATGAGTGGTTGATGGATGATTTTGATGAGGTCTTATGCATTACTTTCTATTGTTACCATGACAACTGATGCATAGTATTTGGACCAGCAGTTGAGGAGTGCAGTGTGCTTTGGTTTTGTTTTCTCCATAAAAAAAATTTTATGGGTTCATTTTTGGTCTTAGTATTCTTGCATTCAGTGTATATATATATTAATGATTCAGTGTCTTGATACCTTTCTGTGCACCCATTGTCTTTATGAGAAATGATTGTGATGCGCTTTTTCTACACTATGTGAACTCTCAGTCCCCCTTACAGCTAAGATTACATGAACGTACACTTATTCATCATCAGCAACATATGCAAGAATAAAATCACTGACTCTCTCTCTCATTCTCTCTCTCTCTCTCTCTCTCTTCACTCTCCCACCTTCTCTCTCTTTCTCTGTGTGTCTGTCTGTCTGTCTGTGTGTCTGTCTGTCTGTCTGTCTGTCTGTCTGTCTGTCTGTCTGTCTGTCTGTCTGTCTGTCTGTCTGTCTCTCTCTCTCTCCCTCTCTCTCTCTCTCTCTCTCTCTCTCTCTCTCTCTCTCTCTCTCTCTCTCTATCTATCTATCTATCTATCTATACCACCCTTCTCTCTCTTTTTCTGTCTGTCTGTCTCTCTCTCTCTATCTCTCTCTCTCTCTCTCTCTCTCTCTCTCTCTCTCTCTCTCTCTCTCTCTCTCTCTCTCTCTCTCTCCATCTCTCCCTCTCTCTCTCCAAAAAAAATCAGTCTTATCAGTTGCTTGCTTGTACTTATAGGTTAGGTACACTGCCAGCTAGTAGCCATGAGGGAATATAATATCAGATGCTTTCCATTATTAAAGCAATGTGATGGTGGTTGTAAAGGGTTTTATTTAAGAGACATTCTTATCTACTTTTGGGAGAGGATGGCTGGAGAGCATCACTGACTGGTAGGTCCAACTTCCTTTTCTTTCCCTCTGTTATTTCTCTCTATCTTACTTTTACCTGGCCCAGCTTTAAATTATAGTCGTTATTGTGTCAGTGTGCTCATCTTGACTCTAGCAAAACAAACTACAGTTTTGAACCTTCCTTGATTGGAGTTTTCCTTTGTTGCGACATGAAAGTTTTGCAATTTACTTTTTACTTTTATGGAGTGAATGAGTCAGGCTCAGGATAGTAGGGCAGTCTCCCACTCTGATGTATTTTTTGCGCAAATCATCAATGCCTTTCACCCCTGACAGGGTATAGGCCACATACAAGCTCCTTCCATTTTTTTTCTGTCCTGGGCCATCCTTCTTACCTCGTTTCAAGTGAGCTTCATCTCTCTCATGTCCCTTTCCACACATCTCCTCCGTGTTTCCCCTTGGCCTACCCCTGCCTCATAATTTACACAAATGCCACTATAATATTAAATGCTGAACTGATGTCACTATGGTATGTGCTACGCTTATGTGTAATAGTAGTCATATACAGCAGTATAGCACTGTGTCTTGTATATAATATAATGCAATTTTTTATTTTTATGATAGTGTTTTTATGCCCCCATCAACACAATTTAGATAATTTATGAAGTGGGCTTCAACCCGGCCTGGCAAGGCCAACCGTGGGCTGAGAGGGATACATTATCCCAGTGGAAAGACTGAGATACTTGATAAATTTTCTCCATATCCAGGAATTGAACTCAGGTCTTGTGTGTACGACCATGAAGTGCTTAACTGTGACATCATAGATGCCAGTACTGTGTTGTGCACTTGTTTGTGTTGTGCTGAAGGTGTTGTTCTAGTAGGTGCTTCTAGAGTGTGAATCAATACATGCATCAATGGATTTTTGGTGAGTGTTTTTGGAGGGATAATTTATAATAGTATTGTCGTCAACAAGATTTCATGAGATTTAAAAGACCAGGGTATTGAATGATCTGACTTCAATTGTTGACAGTCGTGTGCCATGTCTGTGATTGTGATCTTCAGTTTGCTCCTATGTAATTTATAGCATGGTTTTGTTATGTATTTATAGCGTGGTTTTTTGTATACATGTTGTGAATGAAATGAAAAAGATACATGTTTTTTTGGGAATGTGCCAAAAGTTAATCCGGTGTTTTAAATCATTTTCGTGGGTGGTTGGCGGGTGCTCTGGTATGGTCTGTGGTCTGCTTCTTCTTTCCTGTCAAACATCTATCGTCCTTATCTCCCTTTCTTCTTTTTTATGTTTGTTACTTTCTTGTAACACCTCTAATCTTCTGGCGCTCATATGACCTTACGTATTTGCGAGCGCCTTAAAACCTCTACTAAAACAAAATCATTTTCTGTTCAGGTTGACGAGACAGTTGGCTGTGTGGATAAAGAGCGGGTGAGTCGTCTGGAGGTGGAGAACCGAGCTCTGCGCGAGATGCTAGAGATCTGTACGACAAGCCGCGACCGCATTATGGTTCCTTTTGGAGCAGCAGGTTTAAAAGAAAACGGGCTGGGCAAGGATGACGGAGAGGAGAATCTCGACGATGATGATGAAGATGATGATACCGACACAGAGTGTGATTCCACTGTGCTAGTATCTGCTGGGAAAGAATTAGAGGAGAAAGAAGAGAAAGCTTTGAAGGAGGAGAAGAAAGAAAAGGAGGAGAAGAAAGAAAAGGTGGAAAAGACAGAAAAGGTAGAGAAGGTAGAAAAGGAGGAGAAGGGAGGAGGGGCAGCAGGAGGGAAAAAGAAAGTCCAAGAATCATCGAGCAAGGAAAGCACGCCAACCCCATCCCCATCCCCATCCCCAACCCCAACTTCATCCTCAGCCACGCCCACTTCTACCTCAGCAAGTGCTCCCGCAGCTGCAAAGGGAGGCAAATCCCCAAGTCCCAGCAAATCTGTCGGTGATGTGAAGAAGACCAGGACTGGTATGGTCGCTCGTTCTCCCAGCGAAAGTACAGTGAAAAAAACAGCGTCGACCACTTCAGTGAAAAAGGACACAGGCACTCTAAAGAAGAGTCCTTCAGTAGACACAAAGAAAGATCTGAAAGGCAAGCCAGCTGCTGGTAAAGCTCCTGCGAAGAAATAAGCACCCCTGTGATTTGTTTTCTTTCATGTCAATGAGCAGAAAGAGATTGAGTGAGATGTGAGCTTGTGTTTTCAGGAGGCAGAAATGTTTTTTTCCACATAATGAACGCCTTCCTGTTTTCTGTTTGATATTGTATGAAAGATTTCCATTGGTGATATCAAACCTTTATTTGGCTCACTTCATTGATGATGATTGGAAGGATGTGGTTATCATGTGTACATTTCATTATTTATATATATATTATGTATTTGAGTATGATTAGTAATCAATAAAACTTTTTTTCTTGAAATGGTTTGTACCCTTGATTTTGTCTACATGGCAAAGACATTTTGCTGAGTATAAGTATAATATATCATAACTCAATCTCATAATGGGATGGATTTTGTGTAGTGCACCATTTCATTTTAATATTAATACATGTATTCATTTCTGTATAGCTCTCCCAAATATCATAACAAACTGGATCCCTTTGTGACTCGTTTGAGCTTAGATTCATCTAGATCAATGGTTCCAATTCATCTCTTGAGACAAAGTGCTTAGCGAAAATTTTGCATAATAATAAAAAAGGCCATTTATATGGATCGATTATGTAATAGTTTTAATGTGTGTGTTTTACACCCCCATTGACACAATTTAGTTCATTAAGGAAGCAGGCTTCACAGCCAACCCAGGCAGAGCGGGATACAGCATACCAGCAGAAAGATCAAGATGCTCAATAAAATATTTCTCCCCATTCTGGAATTCGGGTCTCCTGTCTGAGACAGCGAACCGCCTAAACACTACACAACTGATGCCGGTGTGGAACAGTTAAATGGCATTGGTGGTAGCTACTTATAGAGGGGGCGTTCTTTTCTTGTGAATGTCACAATGTTTGACAATTTATTTTTGTTTTGAAGATGGGCTGTGGGTGTTGGCGGGTGCTCTGGTGTGGTTTGCTTCTTCTTTCCTATCAAAACATCTATCGTTATTATCTCCCCATCTTCTTCTTTATGTTTGTTGTTACTCTCTTGTAACATCTCTAATCTTCTGGTGCTCATATGACCGTATGCAGTTGCGAGCGGCGTAAAACTTCTCCTAAAAAAACTCGACTAAAACTAAAAGAAGATGGGCTGATTGGACACTGTCATGTGTCACATACAGCCCTTCTGTGCTGGATAATTTATATTGACACGATTAGACATTCTCAGTGAAATGTCTTCCTGGAGTGGGAATTGAACTCATATCTTAACAATGCAAGTGCAAATCAAAGAGTGTAACTATTACAGATCAAAATGATCAGAGGGCTCTCTGGCATGGCCTGCTCCTGTTTTTCTCTGTGCTTCTACTATTAGGCCTACTTCTAGTATTCTGATTGGTGGATTAAGTGGGTAGTTAGTGATATTTTGGCGTTTTGTCCTACTTCTTTATTATCTATTTTTTCTCTCTCTATCTGCCTGTGACTGTGACACTGTTGCTCGTTGAAGCGAACTACACAGTTTGTAGGCGACATTGGACTGACTGTCTAGCTTCTGTCATCGAGAACGAGGAAGAAGAAGAAGAACACTGTTGCTTTGTCCTGCTTCTTTGCTTTCTTGGGGGTTTTTTCTATCTACATGGGACGTTGATGTTATGTCCAACTTCTTTACTCTCTGTTTTTCTGTCTTTCTTCCTGTGACACTGTTGCATTGTCCAGCTTCTTTGCTCTTTATTTTTTCTCTACATCTACATGTGACATTATTGCTTTTATCCTACTTCTTTACTCTCTATTTTTTCTTTGTCAATCTATCTGTTACACTGTTGCTATATCCTGCTTCTGTACAATTTACTCCGTTTTTTTGTCTATCTCTGCATGTGACCTTGGTGTTATGTCCAACTTCTTTACTCCCTGGTTGTTTTTTTATGTCTATCTGTCTGTGACACTGCTGTTATGTTCTACTTCTTTGCTCTTTTTTCTGTCTATCTGCTTGGTTCTTCCAGAATTAAATTACCATTACAGTATCAAAGTTATTTTGATTTTATCTAATGAATGGTCCCTCATGAAAAAGGGTCATCACTATATAATACATGTAGCCAGTGTTGGAATCAAACTCACGTCTTCAGTAATGTATACAGTGGCAAAGAGTCTAATCATGGGTGGTTGGATGGTGCTCTGGTGTGGTTTGCTCCTTCTTTCCTATCAAACATCTATCGTCCTAATATTATCTGTCGTCCTTTTTTGTATTTGTTGCTCCCTTGTAATATCTCTAATCTTCCGCCCTTATATGACCATATTGTGTTACAAGTGCCGTAAAACTCTTACTCTTACGACAACAAAGAGCCTAATCACCATAGTAAGCTTCAAACGCAAACACTGGAGATTCACAGAGGCGCCAACACCAGCAATAGAAAATGGACATCACAACGCTGAAGTGATATCAGCAGAATCGTAGGCCGTGTGTTCAATCTTCCAGGAACGGGACTATTTTTCTATACATGTATTCTTTCTGTAATATTTAGTCCTCCTTTTTGCAAATGCACATGCTTTGTCCATCTTTTAAAAATATATACATGTAATACATTCTTCATTCCCCAAGGACTAGTAGTAGTATTAAACTTAAACCCATGCTCCAAGAATATGTAGAGTTCATCATTCCAAAAACCTTTCTTTCCAGCCCCACGTGCCCTTTCTCGGGGTCTCGGGGTACCCAACGCTCTCTCTAAGACATTCCTCAATCTGTGTCTAGCAAACCTTTACAAAAGCATGTCAAACTGTGCTGCAAACATCAATTGCCATTGAGCTTCATAATCAACCAATCCTCCGTCCCCTCAAAGGCCTACTCAGATATATCCATTTGTTGAAAAAATTCATAATCTCTCGCCCCCCCCCCCCCCCTTCCAACTCATTATCTTCCTTCCTTATTCTTCCTTCCTTCCTTCGAGTATCTGTTGTCCCACCTTCCACCAGCACACACATCTGTCTGTCTGTCTGTCTGTCTGTCTGTCTGTCTGTCTGTCTGTCTGTCTGTCTCTCTCTCTCTCTCTCTCTCTCTCTCTCTCTCTCTCTCTCTCTCTCTAAGTACACACACTTATTATATAGGTGTGGAAATTTCAGCTCCAGCACAAGCGACCTATCTACACACACACACACACACACACACACACGCACGCACGCACGCACGCACACGCACACACACACAGTGTCTTATTCATACTTCAACTGAAAGGGAACAACACTCTCAGTAGAGAGTTTAATAAAATTAATGACGACAGTCTATTATATGACAGAAAAGGAATTAATTAAGGTTGGCAATTTCGCGTTCACATTCAATACAGTTGTGAAACATTCATTATAAATTATGGTGTATTATACATTCATTTCCTACATTAAGTACGGATCATTACCCTTGTCTCTCAAATCTCAGTGGAAAATAGACGATCATGTGACATTATGATTCGAAGATGGCGGAGGCTGAAGATGAAAACAAACCGAAGGAAGGATTTTTACAGAAGTTATTAAAGAAAATAGCTGAGGAACGTAAAAGAAATGGCAGGGGCATGATTGACTCAGGTATGACAACTTCTCTTTTAGGTTCATGAATTCTATTGTGAGTAAATATAGCCATTTGCAGCATTCGATTTTGTATCAGTGCGAAACATTGTTTGTCGTCACCTGTTTGTTTATTCGGGTAGCCTACCCTACACGGAGCACAGTGTGATGTTCTATGTTTGTGCTAAGGATCATCATGTGAGAGTCGAGAGGTCGTAAAAAGATAAGATTAAGAAGTAAACATGTATGGTAAGTGTTGGGAAGAGAGCCATGGGGAGAGTATAAACGGACAACCAACAACACAAATCCTGATGAATCCACACTCTTGACACACACTCTCACTAGTCTAGATTAGTTGTGACTCACACACGCTACTGACTCTACTAGAATACTAAGTAGGGCCTACTGTAGTGGTACTCTCAGTTAGTTGTAGATCAAGTTGAGATTGTACTTCTGTACTGTACTCCTGTTGTCAACTGTAGCCTCTAAGTCTCTAAGTCTAAGTCAAGTTTAGTTTACTAACTTAGGACTTAGGAAGTGGCTATCCTCACCCGGGGTGAGAATAAAAATACGATCGACCTCTCACCCAGGGTGAGACTTGCCATCTTTGGCTATTCTTAGCCGCTGTGAAACAAGACCTGTTTTTCCTAATTTCGGAATGGTAGCGTCAATTGCCACCGAGTGACGCGGTGGCAATTGACAAAAATTGACTTTTTGTCATTTGCCACCGAGTGACTGAAAACAACACTATCTTTAGCATAATTACATAATGTGTGTCTAATGGGTCAATTTGTTCTCAACTTATTTCATTGGACGAGCATCTAGTCTAGAGCTAGGGTACCAACTTGGCCTGTTTTCAATGAGACATAGGCCTAGGTCTAGGCTAGCCTCAGCCTACACTTTGGTGTAGAATCAACACAGGCAATTCTAGAAGTAGAAGGTCACAAACGCACACAAACTCAAGTAGAAATTCATGTTATATCGGGGAACATAAATCGGGGGACGGGGGTCAGGAAAAGACACACACACACACACACATACAGAGGGACAGGACAGAGAGGCGAACGCACAGCACTGAGCACTCGAGCACAATAAGCTAGATCTACCCACCAACGCAAAAGAGCTCCAATTTACTCAGTGGCAATCGACACTACCTTTCGGAATACTGTCTATCGGTGTGGAGGATCAAATTGATAATGGCAAAGAAAAAATGACGTTATAGTAGGCAGTTTAGTGAACGTGCTCGCGGCAGGGCGAATAGGCCGTGGTACGTCCCGTAGATTTTTGTGACCGGCTGTGAAGCCTCGCGCTACGGTGGGTCTAAACAACTCACAGTTTTGTTTCGTTTTGTGAATTGCACTACCACTCCCGATACATCTTTTTAAACGGAAAAGAAAGTTATTCAAAATGGCGGTCTTCGCATGAAAATCGGTTCAGTAGAACTGGAAATATTTGCCTCTGAAAACAAGGCAATTTTTACAACGCAATAAAATGAAAACTACTGGCTGTATATATTTATGAATCTTTCAGAAGTTATAAGATTATAAGCCATTCTAGTTTCTTTGGACACACGAGTTGTTTTGGTTGAACTTCACACAACGCTATGGGGCTTCCTGTAAAAATGCATACAAAAAGCCGAACCGCCGAATAGGCCGGTCAGCGACCTGGCACCCCCGCTCTCCCCTGCCCACTGTGATAACATATTGCGTCGGCATCGCATTTATTTGCGCTTTACTTGTTTCTCCATATAATAATAATACGTGCGGCTATGAAATTATGAACGGACTGACAAAAGAATTCACAGTTTTGCTTTTATTTTACCATCTTTGGCTCTTGAATAGTGCAAATGATAGCTAAATCTAGATTCCCTTCTAGAATTCAGCAGCAGTAGGCTAGAAGCAGTCAAAAAGCCTGCATCTGCTAGATCTAACTCATACCTTTGGCCTTTGAAATTGAAATAAAACTTGAATTGCACAGTTCTAATTGATGTTAGATTCAGCGTCTGGCTATATTTTCCAGAGTTAATAATAAATCTCATCATAACAATTACTTTTATTAGACAACCTTTTTCTTAAATGGGTTTTGCGCAAACTTACTAGTAGTCTAAAAGAGAACAGAGTTTATAGTATCCAAGCCTCTGCTCAGTGTTTCACTTTCAGTACCTAATAATTTAATTATTTTTTTCTGGATATTTTTACATTTACATTATCAAATTGTGCCATTTTCTTTGATATAATATATGGCGAATGAGTCTGACTCAATATTTTTTTAAAATTGTGCTCATCAATGAAAATTGCTAGTTGATAATAACTCAAAATGTATTGAATAGTGAAGAAAAATGTATGAAAAAATAATAGAATGAGGTAGACTATATAAATTGTCCAAAAAATTGCAAGTGCATCTTGCGTGAAGATCATAAGATGACTTTTTTATTTTCTGGTCTTCTTTCCGCAGTTTATTAAATGTTCCAGTGGGTCTACAACTAGGTCTCCGAAGAGCATTTTTCTTGAATTTATAAGCTCTTTTATGCACTTGAAAGCATAAAATATAGCTTCACACAAATGTATGTTACAATACTTTGTAAAAGAAGGATAGGGAGCTGACTTAAAGCGGTTATTAAGAGTCTTGTTTCTTTTTTTTTTACGGAATCCGTTTTACGATTAGAAAAACACTAAAAACACGTTTTGAAATCTTAAGAATGACCTTAAAAATTGGAAATTATTACTTAATTGGCTTAACTCTTTAATAATTATGAACAGTGAAAAAAAAACAAAGAGAATGATGTATGATTTGTTTAAATATGGGCATTAGCAGCAAAGATATAGCTCATTTTGTCCATTTCGGGTTATCTTTGCGGGTGATTTTTTATCACCCTGGACCTTAGAAGTACCCAAAAAATATTTCTGTGACCTTTTAAAGAGGTGTTTTGTAGTTGTGTGCAGTCTGTGTAAAATTCCCAACAAATTGATGTATCGTACAACACTTTTAGAAACATGCATTTTGTGTTGAGTAATGGTCATTTGTGTTGTAAAGTTGCATTTTGGTCAGGGTTGGTGATTTTTTTGATTTTTAAAATTTTAAAATATTCAAATCAGATTTTTTAAAATTTAAATTGGATTTTTAAATTTTTTTTGAAAATGTCGACAGTTTGGGATTTTTGGTGGCTGAAAGTATGTTCTTTAAGTGCAGAATGCATTGTCTTTATTTTAACTAATGATTAATTTAAGCAACCGCAAAAGAAAGCCTTAATCTGCTATTATCAGTGAATTATGGCTACAGACGAAACATGAAGAAAATGTCAGTCTAAAAGGAAAGGGGGGGAAGGGGGTAATTATGCACAGATAAACTTGTATTTTATTACAGTGTGCGTGTGTGTGTGTGCGCGCTTATGTTTGTCTAAAAAGAAAAAGAAAATGCTAATTTCAATTATGAAAAAAAAGTAAATTGAACACTGTATTAATTTACTACTTCTTACAGTAGGTACCACAAACCCAAATTTCAAAGTGCTTTGATCAAACTTATGTTTGTTGCATCATAAAGAACTATGCAAACCATGAACTTTGGTGTTTGAATTATAGAAATCGGACAATAAATAATAAAATGACAGGCGTTTGAAATTTGTGGACGCCGTAAATTTTTGGCAACTTTAACTTTAAAATCACGTTAAAAAGTGCGATTTTGTGAGTTCACAGAAAATATATTCAGTTATATAATAAAGTGTGTATTATCATTTGTTTCAACAGGTGCCAGTATAAACTATGCAAAATACCAAGATGAGGACAATCAGAGTTTAAATAAAGCCAATACAGAGACTTAAAATTTGAAAAAAATTACTCCTTGATGCATAATGTTAATTCAAAAATGCTAAAAAGACTGATTTCAGACATCATTAAAATGGAAAGTTATTGCTGAAAAGACATGAAACTTACAAAACATGTTCACAGTAGTGCAAATTCATAGCCCAATTTTTTTCAGAGTTCTGGCACTTCAATTTAATCAGTTATGGAACCACAAAAATGGGAAAACTGCCAATTTTGCGTTATAAACAGAAAATCACAACACGGTACACATGGCCTAAACACTTTTCAGAATAAAATCACCTAAAATCATGGTAAATGTCTGAAGCGTTCCATGCCAATGTACTTTTGGACCAGGAATCCATTTCTGTTATCATTTCTGTGATAACATGAAGCATTACAATGATATGAGGTTAGATAAGAGAAAAAATAAGAAATTATTCGGCATAATTTCAACAAAATCATCTATAACTTCTATAGAACAACAAAAAAGACGCCCAAAAGCTCTATTTCTATGTGTTTTTGGGCCAGGAATCCATTTCTGCAATCAAATCTGAGATAAAATGAGGCATTAATAAAGTAAATATTCAACAATGACAGATCAGATACACAAACACACACAAAAACTCCTCAATTCTAATTACTTTTTTTTTAATTGGAAAGAATCTCCAAACAATTTTTTTTCGAAAATAAAAAAAATCGGGCAGCAGCTCCCGCCCGGGCAAAGCCCATTTTCGTTTCAAAACGATGATTTTTTTCCAAAAATATAAAAATTGTGCAGAAGCTCCCGCACGGGCAGAGCCCATTTTCAAATCAAACCAAGGCCAGGACAATTGGGGAGAGGGTGGAGGAGACACAAGTTAGCTCTGCAACAAAGTTCAAATTCCCCATGGCTCATTAATCTAAAAAAATTGGGTCTATTCAGGAATAGATCTAGCAATTCTAAAGGTACCGACTTATTTGATAATCACGAATTATTATGAATGAAGCTCTCGAGTAGGAGAGTCCATTTTCAGCAGTAAACCAGCCTCTAAAAGTTGTATAAAAAAATTCAATTGGTGCCGGTACTTGTTTCATGAGTCTAAATAGATATATTGGCTAAAAGAAAACAATTATATGAATTAGTTATCAAAGACTTTGTCAGATATTCGCGATATTCAAGAGAATATATTCATTCATCAATGAACAAATGCCAGCTGCACCCCCTTCACAGACGAGTTCATC